ATTTACTTTTGAGACTTACACAAAAATACTACATATGAAAATACGACATCATAAAAAAAAGACATGCATAGCGAAGAAGTTTCTGTTAAATGAAACATGGATCTCTATTTACATATACGCTTAGTGGTATAAATGGGAACAAGTTTTCCTTTTTCCTTTATTCCCATTTGAATGGTTGTTCATTTCAGCTCTGTTGCCTTCTCACCCAGAACCTAGAAGAACAACATTTAAGGGGAAGCAGTAGTAATATCATAGGGGGAAGAGATTTCACAAAGGTACTATCTAAAGCAATTTCAAATTATATTACAAAATCTGAGGCACAGTAACTTTGTAGGTGCATGACTAGTGTTCTGCCTACAAGGCATGCCACAGCAACTGTCTCCTGTTAGACTGGCTCTCTCATTTTAATTATCTACTTTCATTGCTTTAGGTGCAAACAATATATTCAAACTCTCATTCTTATACTAATCAGTTCTTCTTTAACCCCAGGCCCATGCTTTCTTGCTTCATTTATCTCATAACCCATTCCATTGTTCTGGGCAGCATGATACAGTGGAAAGAGTAAGAAGACCTGAGTTTGAATTCTACCTCTCATGTATACTACCTGTGCATATCACTCAATCTCCCCGGGCTTTTTTTTTTTAAATAATCTGTAAAATGAGGGAGTTAAACATGACTTCTAAGGGCCCCTTCCAGCATCTAGTTCTTTGAGTTTTGCTTTCTGGATTCTCTCTTCTTGGCCCTCTTTTCTCTTTATACTCTCTCCTTTGGCAATTTTATTCACTCTGTTGTCTCTAGTTACCACCTCTATTTAGATGACCCCTAAATCTGTATCTCCAGGCCCACCTTCTTTTCTGAGCTCCAGACCCCACATCTCCAGCTGCTTTCAGTAGATCTCCACCTGGATGAATCACTGCCACCTCAAATTCAACACATCCCCAAATCGAGCTTATCTACCCCAAACTTGTTTCTGTCTGTGGCACCACCGCTCATTAAATTTCTCATTTTTTAGCTTTAGAATTATCTTTGATTATTGCTTTGTATCACTGCTTCTATGGAATCAGTTACCAAGTCCTACTGATTCCACCTCTATAATATCTCCAGCAGCCACACCTTTCTGTTTGTTCTCATTGCTACCACTCCAGTGGTCTTAATTGTCACTCACTGGATTACTATTATAATCTCTCAACAGATCGTCTTACTTCTACTCTTCCCCTCTCCAATCCATCTTTCATGATACCACTGTCAGAATAATGTTCTTAAAGTTACAAATGGTCAGGTTACTGCTCTGCTAAAAATTTCAAGTGGTTCCCGAAAGTCTCCCAAATAAAGTTCAGATATCTTCGCCTGACATTCAAAATTTCCTGCAGTCTAATGCCATTAAAGCTTCATTTCATAAGAGAGGCAGTGAAATGGCACAGTAGATAAGTGTTGGACATGGGGATGAAAAGAGCAGAGTTCATATTTAGCCTCAGACACTTAGCTGGGTGACCCTGGGCAAGTCACTTAACCTCTGTCTGCCCTTATTTCCTCATTTGTAATTTCCTCATTATTTGATAGTAATAACATCCACTTCACAGGGTTGTTGTGAGGATAAAATGAGATAACATTTTAAAATGTTTTGCAAGTGTTTTGCAAAATAAAGCACCACATAAATCCTAACTATTGTTACTATTATATTACCATCTACCTTTCAGCTAAATTGGTCTATTGCCTAAACACATCACATGCCACCTTTTAACTACACTTATGTTCACTCTCTTCCCTGTGACTGGAATGTCCTCCTTCCCCCCTTTTAAGCCATTTTATTTCTACCCATTTTTTAAAGTCACCTGAAATGTACTTCTCTCCCACAAAGAATTCCCTGATACCCCACCCCCTCCAAATCTGTAACAGCCATAATTCATTCAACAAGCATTTAATAAACTCCTACTATATGTGCTAGACGGTGGAAACATAGTCAAAAGTAAAGACAGCTCCTACCCACAAGGAGCTTACCTTCTACCACTTAATATTCCACTCTAGGCTATACTCTTGACTTTCCAGACTTTCTCTGCCATGTCCTAGAAACCTCTTCACCCAAAAGTTTCACTATACCTCTGGGTTTTTCATATTGGAAGTACCATTTGTCCCTGTAGTCTCTCCCTCTGATCAACTGGTTTCTCCTTCAGTCTCCATTTTAAGGAGGACACTTAGGCCAGCTGTGTCTTTCTTACTCTCTGGGCTACATTCCTGACTCTGGATTTCCCTACCATGTCCCTGCATTGGTACCTTATTAGAAAATATGAACACATTAAAGATAACAAATTAAAATAAATCACTCCAAACAAATTCAGTACTCTTAAATTTAGCTTTCAACATAACTAAGCATCTTAATCACCTGACTTACCTTCTCATTGAATTAAAATTTAATGCTACTTGATTTTTAATGGATGATGGTTAGAACCATTAATAAAGACTTCTCCACATAATATAAGCTATTTCCTTTTTGGCTTTGAATCCTCAGCACCTAGACAGTGTTCCAATAAGTACAATTAAGAACTTAGCAAGTATTTGAATTATGATAGACTATGTATCTAGACCAACTGTTTTTTTTCCAGGTTGCCTGAATTAAATTAGTTAATAGCTGATATACTTAGAACTTAAAGGTTTGCAAAGCAATTTACATACATCGCCACATTTGGCCCTCAGAGTAACCCTATAAAGTAACAGCTATAGGCATTAGCATCAGTATTTTAAAGACGAGAAAAACTTGTGAGAGGTTGAATAACTTGCTCAGAGTCACACAGCTAGAAAGGATTTGAAGCAAGTTTCAAATCCAGGTCTTCCTGACTCCAAGTTTAGAATCCTATCCATCATACTCTACTGCCTCTGGAGTCAGTTCAAGTAAAAAAAAAAAAAAACCAAAAAACCAACTGGATACCATCTATATGCCTAACACGGAATATAGGCAGCAAAAACTTTTCCCTCTCTTGATCATATTCTGCATTTTTTTTCTTCCCATCAGTTAAACTTCCTTTCAAAATTCTAACTTAATTTTTTTTAAAGCAAAGAATATTCTATAAGGTACTAAAAGTCAATTAGTTCTTTGTAATCAGCTTATTTCTGAAACCAAAAATGAGCATTTTAGTCCCATGACTGAAAAGATACTGTCCCCTTCTATAAGAGATAGCATTAAATTATGTGTTATATAATGTCTCTTCAATTAGACACCATCTTCTTATAATTAATGGATTTGTACCTACTGTACCAAGTTGCTAGGTTGTTTTTACGTATTGTGTTTCCAAAATTGCTAAATGGCTACTAGCAAAATGTCTGAATTGTATGAAATTATAGGTTGAACAACTAGCAATTTTTAGCTGTTAATGTCATAGGTGTTACTTTTTCCTGTATGAATAAAATCAAAGCATAGCATATAGGCTACTATAAAATATTAGTCTATCAGTGGTGTCCACAGATCCTCTTTTCCAATAATTACAATACCTTTGAGTGTTTGTTTAAATGCTCCTGGTAGTTTATTCCAGTCAGATCTAGCAACAAGTTTTAGTTAGGGTGGGCAATTAAAATAGCTCTGTGGACTAAAATAGAGTGTTCAGAGTGATATATTTTAAATTATTCATACTTGAGCAAAAGTAGATATAAACATGAGAATAAGTAAACTACAGAGACAAGGTGGAAGAAATATTTCTAAATTGTTTAGTGAACATTTAAAACAATAGACTTCAATGATGTCAGTGAGATACTTTTGTGGAACTGATTTGTTCATGGGCTAAACTAATTCAGTTAGAAACAGTAAGACAAACTATTCTGACAGCCATAAGAACATAAGACAAGTCTATATTTGTAGTTCTATTGGATTTAAAGTAGTAAGGAACTTTGGGATCATCTAATGAAACCCTGTTATTTTATAAATGAGAAAACTTAGGCCTATAGAATAAAATTACTTGCCTGTGTGTGCATGTGTGTTTGCACACACACGTATAATATAGACACATGTCATGTGTATATATGTGTGTGTGTGTTTGCACACATACATATAATACAGACACATGTCATGTGTATATATGTGTGTGTCATGGTTGTTACTTTATGTATACACACATATATGCATATATATATGTATGTATATACAGATGAGAATTTGAGAATCTATAGCAACACAGACCTTTCAAGTTATCTGGATACAATAATGTTCTAGAATCAACTGCACACAATTTAACTCAAAGAGTTTTATTTCTAACGTTTAGCATGTAAAATATTTAGAACATTAAAGGCTTGTGGTTTACACATAACAATAGCTTTTAAAATGTCTCAATAATAATAGGTTCAATTTACACTACAGTGAGTTTGTGTGGGTATCCGGTAAAAACTCAATGGAATCCTAATTCATATATAAATAGACTACCATTTATACAATACTATGTCAAATAATGTGTACATAAGCATCTAATAGTAAGGCTTACATCTTTACATTTTATATCCAAAAGTGCTCTACTATTATCAGTCAACAAATACTGATTCATAAATAAGTAAGACCAAATCAGAAGCCTGTTACAGATTGAAACACTGGATATCTAACTTTGACCTTTTAAAAAAAAAACATAAAAGCAATATAGCTTTAAGTAGGGTCCACTTTCAATGGTCTCCTGTATACAACTACAGTAAAAAGAAATTTTAAAATTCAATAACCATACATGCGTACACATACACACATATATAATCCTATCTTTCTCAGCTGCTTACATATGATTCAATTCTTAAACCAAATTTCACATGTGGGCAGCTTAGTAATATTTCTAAGATGATTAAGTTACTGTAAGAATAAAAAATGATTACTTTCATTTATTAAATTATATTGTAAAATAACTTTTAAAATGGAAAACTGTTAAAAACCATTAAAAAATTAAAGAATATGACACTATAAGAACCAACAATTGAGGATAGATGCATCTTTTCAAAGAAGAAAAAAATGCCATTTAAAAATAGAAGATAATACCTACCAGGCTTGAAGGTAATGAGGCAGCTCCTGTTAGTGCAAGTTCCTTCTGGGAATATCATTATCTTGGAGTAAAAAGAAAATTTACATGAAATAATAGTGAAGTATAGTTTTCAAATTATTCCATTATCCAAATATTCTACAACATTTTAATAGTATCCAGTTAAAAGGAACAAAAAGCCACAACATAAATACTAGTGTACCCATGCACACATACTTTTATGCTAAATAATAGCATTATTAGAAGTTGGAAGCATCCCAAATAAGACAAACCTAAATGTGATTTTTCTCAAATCGTATCAGTCTGTATTGCATCAGAAATTAAGCACAGAATCTAATTTCTAAACTGAAAATAATCTTAGGGATTTATTTCAGTCTGGAAGGTAGCAAAAACTGAGGAGACTTTTAATAACTTTTTAAAAGAACCACATAAAGATGATAATTGAAGCCATAACAAGAAGTAAAAACTTAGGGAACAACATGTTACCACTGTGGAAAGGATTTATGGAACCCTTCATCAGAATTTTCTCCAAAGCCAGTTGGCAAATTATGCAAGAAAACTGGCCACTACATAATTAATATTTTTGGCCATAGTAACTCACCAAACTAAGGTGTAGAAAGGCTGTGATCTGCATCAGTGGAAGGAATACGCATGCTGCTAAAAATCACAGATCTTCCGAATTGCTAAACTTCTAAAACATATGCTTCTAAAATTTATTCAATCAAAAAGCATTGAATTTAATTGCAGTTCTAAATAATCCTGATTTCACTACTAAAAGGTATCTATGTATGAAATGCTCTGGCTCCTTGATCTATTTTCATTCATATTTTAACACTTTTCAGAGACAATGTCCTTCAAAATATGAACAAGATGCTGAGTTACCTGTGGCCATTTGCCATTAGACTGTGCACGTTTTTTTATTTCTTCAACAGTTTTCCTTCGAGAATCCTGGTCAGATCGGGATACAAATACTGGTCGTATATATTTTATCAGAGCTGCAAAGAAGTTATATGAATTATGTACAGCAATGTAGCATTTTGAGGCAGGTTGTGATTGGGGAGCTAGGGGATTACTTTGTCATTGGTCTCAAAATATAAGGAAAAAAAAGAGAAATTCTAAAAATCCATGTAGAATCACAAAAGAAACAGACACACATCCAATAAAATAAGCAACTACAAATGGACTTAAGGTTTAAGAGTTAATGGAGTAATAGAGTTTTTATATGGTTATATTACTGGATCAACCAAAATTGGTCAACCCTTGGTTATCTACAGGGGTATAGTAGAAGAGAGGTTCAAAGATCCTAAAAGTGTGCATATTAGCAACACTAAAAACACATTTACCTTTGTAATAAATCAATTATAAATGAACATTTTTAATTACTCATGAAATGGTGATCACAAAAAATAAAGTCTATTGGAATAATATTCCTAAGAGGAAATGTCCACAGGGAATTATTATCTGACAGGTATGAGCAGAAAAAGCTCATAGAAATACTTAAAAGTAGGTTTAAAAAGAACCACCATCAGTAGTGAAAACATTGTTATAAACCTCCAAGAGAATTTAAAATAGTAATGACATTCACATGTTCCCAATTTCTAAAATTGAAGAATATGATCTTTGAGAATCATTTTAAATGAGACTGGTTGTTGTGAACTAACCAGTGGAATGCTATGTAGCAATTATCTATACTATAATCTTTATTTTAGACATGTAGATACCTGTGTTTTTATAGATATCTATATTTTCCGTAACTCTGCAAAGACCAACACTGTTATAGATGGTATGAAAGAATAAGCAGATAGACATAACTACATACACATCTACAGTAGGAATTCATCATGTACAAAGAACTACGCAAGATGTTGTGAGAGATACAAAATTGCATAAAACACTGTTTCTGAAGACACTGACAAGTAGAATATAAGCTCTTGAGGGTTGGCATTGTTTTCTTTCTTTGACTTCTCAGCATCTAAAACAGTGTCTTGTACTTAGTGATTAAAAATGTTTGTTGTATTGAATTCTAATTGTATAGTCAAACAACCAACAAGTGTTTATTAAGCATGTGTTATGTGCCAAACTAGCTGTTCTTATTTTAGGAACGTATCACAAAAATGAGATCTAAATTATAATTGAGTAATTAGAAATAATCCAATTTTGTTTGGTGAGACAACAGTATTAACTAATCATACAACATATCCCAAAATTCCAAATAATTTATTTAGAAAGAAAAACCAACCCAATACATGCAACTTCCCTAAATAACTCAAAGTAGCTTTTCAGATCCTTTCTCAAAATATTCAGTTTTTTTAAAAAACATAAGTGAGGTAAACCTGAGAACTCATTCAGATATTTTAAGGATTCACTAAATAACTGAGTTGGTCACTTGTTTGGGAAAATGGACTTAGTCCTGTGCTTAGTTTGTGTAAAGTGCTAATCCCCTTAAAATATTATCTCATTTGATCCTTACAACAACCTTGTAAGGTAGATGCTTTTATTATTCCTATTTTACAATTGAGGAAACTGAGGCAAACAGAGGTTAAATGACGTGTTCCAGTTTACACAGCTAGTGACTGAGGCCAAATTAGAATTCAGGTCTTCCTAACTCAAGACCCAACAATCTTTCCAATGCACCATCTAGCTCCCCACACAACCCTGATAATAAGCTCTTGTAGAGAATTCATCTAAAATAAGAGCAGCAGCGGCAGCATCACATAATAGCTACTAGTATTATTTAGCTGTTTTAAAGTTTGCAAAAGTGCTTTCCAGGCATTATCTTTTTTGATCCTCATGACAACCCTGCAGGGTAGCTATGTTCCCATTTTAAGTAGTTTTCTCAAGGTTGTGCAGATAGAAAGTGTCTTGGATGGAATTTGAATGCATTTCTTCTTAGCTGTCTGCTCGGCATTAAATGAGTTAAAGGCTCCACGCCTAGATGAAACACAGCCTGGTTAGCACAATGAAAGAACTTGCAGCTGTGATTCATTATTAGTTATCTCTGAGAAATCGTGGCAGATGAAAGAGGTGTTAGAAAACTGGGAATGGGCCAGTGTCTTAATTTTCTAAAAAGTAAGTAAGTTCTGAGAATTACAGACCAAAAAGCCGGGGGCCCACCACTCAGTGAAATTCCAAAATATGCTGTGAAGCACAGCTCACTACCATTTCGGAAACAAAATGATCACTGAGTAAGACTTAAAAACATACCATCATTAAAAAGACAACATTTCATTTTCTTTTGTAATAGAATTATTAGACTGCCCCCAAACTCTAGCATAATCTAGAGTTACATGCTTTCCATACAACTACAGTATCCAAATTACAATGAGCTATGACAGTGTCAGTGTTATCATTGCAAGAGTGCAGAGGAGGAAACTTGAGTTTCCTCAGGCTGAAGGTATGACAGACAGGCTTATCAAAATTTGCACATGGCAAAGCTGGGAGAGAGCTAATATAATAGGACAGAACCGAGTTCAAAAAGAATTCAGCAGGTTAGAAATTATGGCTACAACTGATATAAATGAAATTAAACAAAGGTAGGTATGGATTGTTTCAGTTTGGTTTTTGTATACCCAGGGCCAGCACAGAGCCTGGCATGCAGTAGGTGCTTAATATTTTTTTATTTAAATTGTTCACTTAAGGGCAATAAAACAATGGCAGGATGTCAGAAAGACTCAGGGGTTTGGCTGATTATAAAGTTAGTGAGTCATCAGTGCTACAACTGCCCCTAAACTCCAGCATAATCTAGAGTTATATGCTTTCCATGTAATTACAGTATCCAAATTACAATGATTTATATTAGAATATAACCTGAGGATACACAGGGAAACTGTACCATATAATGATGTCTGGTCAAAGAGGAAATGTTTATCCTTAAGGAGAGAAAATTTAGAAGGGATAAAAAAACTAAAAAAAAAAGTAATAATAAATAAACAAAAAAAATTGAAAAATATTTAGAGGGAGTATGATAGCTTTATTTAAATATTTGATATGTTATGTAAGACTGCACTTGTGTAGCCTGTATTAGATAGGTTACTATCTCAGGGAAGGGGGAGGGGAGGAAGGGAGGAATAGAATTTGGAACTCAAAACTTTAAAAAATCCACCAAAGCAAATGTTAAAATTTGTTTTCACATGTAATTGGGGGAAAAGGAAAATATTGTTTAAAAAAAATGTTATGTAAGAGAAATAATAACTTTATTCTACCTATGTAACAGAGGGCAGAATTAGGACCAATGGATAAACATTAGAGGTAGATAAAATTGGACTCATTAGAGTCTAACTAGAGCTACATCAAAATGGAATAGGCTATTGCGTGAAAAAATGAGTTCCATATTACTGCAAATGTTCAGACAGAGGCTACATCTCCGTTAGGGTGAGAGGTTAAACTAGATGACCTGTAAAGCCTCTTCAATGTCTATGAGTCTTTTATTGATGGTCAAACTTTCTATGTCAACCCCAAACAGCAAGATCAGAGATGAAATTGTATTGGAAGGAGATGTGCATATTTTTCAGCACTTACTATAATTATAAATCATTATAGAGTAATCCATTTTCAGAGATAAACTTATGACTTTTTCTAATGTTCATTTCATGCTGTCTCACCCTCAACTCACCTCTTGTTATCCCATACATTGCCTTGCCTACTTACTCTTCCTTTTACAATTCTACTGGTTGTAAAATAGTCCATTTTGGCTTGAACAAATTTTAACTACATCTGGAATTCTAATTGTTTTGAATTTAGAACTTTAACAGCACTGAAATCAGGATGACATGCAATTAAACAATGCCTCAAAAAACTGTTATCAGCCTGAACCAATCTCATGAACTAGGGATCTAGCTAACTCAGGACTCTGGATGTCTTCTTTTCTGAGTAGATGCAATGTGAAAGACACAACAAAGAGCTTATAAGATACAAAACACTTTATAGAATTCTATGAGAACAAAATGACAGCTCTGTGTTTTTCCTATTTTATAACTTTTTTTTTGGTATGTCTAAAACCTTGGTTGGAAAACCCTAGTCAAAATTCTATCAAGCTGCTTTTGGTGAGTGGACAATCACCACTTCATTTGGAATTAAGTTTTCATAAGGAAATAGGACTTGAAAGTTCCTTTTTATGAGCTGTAAAGCTTATTGAACTTTTAAAGTTCAATAACAAAAATCTCATTAATGAGACAGAATTATTACGATCATTATGCTATCAATCAATATACACTGCTAAGAACTGAATGGCATAAAGGTGATGGATCTCCAAAGCATCTTAAAACCATTTCTTCCTGGCAACATAAAAAAGAAAGCCAGTATAACAGATATGGAGAAAGCCAAGTCATTATAAACATTGTCACTTTTGTGCTATCTTTTTTCTCCCTAGATATTTGAAGTTTCTATCCTTCAATCTGTCTCATCAAATGGTCTAAGCTTTTAAGATCTGGCAGTTTAACAGGAGACAAAATAACTTTTAGAAAACATATCTTGGAGGGGCTGCTAGGTGGCGTAGTAGGTAGAGCTCCAGCCTTGGAGTCAGGAGGACCTGAGTTCAAATCCAGCCTCAGACATTTGCCACTAGCTATGTGACCCTGGGCAAGCCACTTAACCCCAATTGCCTCACAAAAAAAAAAGTAAATAAAGAAAACCTATCTTGATCTAGTGTTTTTCTGAAAAGGAAATTCATTAATAAAATTAAGTAGTACGTAAAAAAAAAAAACTTACCCTGTTTTATCTCATGTCTACTCCAAAAATGTGTAACTTGAGGGCCATAAAAATTAATTTGTTAAGTAGACTTTCTTAAGTTACTGGTAGTGTAGTGCAAAAAGCACAGTATTTGAAGTCAGAGGACCTGGATCCTCTGGTACTTAACACCTGGGAACCTTGGATATGTCACTTAACCTTTCTAGGCCTTAATTTTTTTATTTACAAAATGAAGAGGTTGGACAAGATGAACTTGAAGGTCATTCCCATCTCTATTGGTCTATACCTAAATTATCTCTAAAGTAAAACTATAAGAAATTGCAATGTGCATGCATATATAGACACAGGAATAGAAAGTGAGTGAGCCTTTGGATTGGTGGTAGGAAATGACATGTTGCAGACTGTTTGTTGGCCTGGGCTGACTTGAGTGGTAAAAGGAATATACTAAGTAAGAAGACTTAGCAACTGATTGAATATAGGCAGTGAGGAAGAGGAAGGAGCCAAAGATGACTCTGAGGATACAAACCAGGGAAGACTGGAAAAACGGTGATGCCCTGAATAGAAATAGGGAAACATGGAGGAAGGGTTGTGGGAGGGAGAGGTGATGAATCCCATTCTGGAGATAGGAAGTCATAGATTGCTGATGGGCCATCTAGGTTTATCAAGCAGCTGGTAAATCAAGGTTAGAGTTCAGAGGAGAGATTAGGACTAGATATATAGATTTAGGAGTTATCTGCACAGGAAACAGATAATATGATGGTCACTTAAAGCATTTTTTTCCCCACTTAGCAGTCAGTAAAATGTCCTTTGTCTACTTTACATTACTTTCCCCACTAACTGGTTCTTTCATAACAATAGAAAGGGAAAAGTTCTGAGTGCAGATTATTTTTGTGCAGTCAAATACATTGTTTAATTCTATACTACCACTTCATTATATCCCTCAAAAAAAATCTTCAAAATTCCTGATAGTTTATTTAAACAGCTTTCAAATACTTAGGAGGTGAGAAATTGGTCAGTCTAATTCTGTCCTTCAATCTGCTACTGATAAATTCCTCCGACAAAAGTTGGAGTATAATTTGTTTCCCAATGTCAGCTCAGTAATTGTATGTTGGTTTTAATCATTTTGCTATTACAGAATGAATGAAGGAATACAGTGATACAGTTGAAAAAGTTTTGGATTTGGAGTCTGAATAATCTGAATTTAAATCTTGGTGCTGATACTTTCTACTGTTTGTCCTTTAAGGAAGGACCTCAGTCTTAAGTTCTCACAATACAGCTCTAAATTTTATAATTGGTGTTTTATGTTTGAATCAAATTGATTTTAGGTAGATAGTCATTAAAATAATTGTTTCAAGGCCTTTTTTTTTTACAGTTAAAAAATAATTCTGTGTTATACATACACACATGAATGGAGTATTATGAGAATTTGGATTCTGGCAGTAAAAAAATACTAGTAGTAATACCATTCACACAAATAAGTGACACATCTTTGATTTTATCAGCAAAGGGAACTCCACCAACAAAATAATATATCTAATGTTGAAAATAACTGAAAAGTGAAACTATTAGAGACTCAATACAAAAAAAAATCAATTAACATGTATGGGAAAATAATTTTTTAATTATGTATACTCTACTTACACTATTAAATTAAGCACATATGTTCTTGGTCCAAACATGAACTGATTCACTTACTTCCCCAAATAGGAATGTCTCTGCTTTCTGCCTTCATCACGATAGAGGACATGGTCATTGTTACAGGAATGGCATCAAAGTAGGAGGAATGTGGGGCTAGAGTCAGGATTGCGGCTTCTGTCGGTAAGGCCTGTCTGCCCTTTACAGTCACCCAGTGAAATCCACCAACAAACCACATTGTCCGCATGATAGCTTTCAGCAGAAAGTCCACCACCCTGTAAGATAAGGTGATAATTATAATATTTGAAATAAAATAATTGGCACATAATGCTGAAATGTGCTAAGTGTTTGTTTAAAAAAAAAAAAGGCGAGAGAATACTGTTGACACAAGAAAGGAAAGAAATGAGGCCATAGTAACATTTTATAGACATCTGTAAAGTATTTTCCAGAATAGTTTCAGGTCAATTAATTATAGTTTAGCTATTACTTTAACTACCAGCTCATTGAAAAAAAGATTATAGTTTCTTTCTCTGTTGTCAGGTATCAACTATCTCTATAATCAATTAAAGAATACAATTACAAATATGACCAATAACTTTGAAACTAGCACTAAAATATTTCATGCAAACTGCCCCAAACTTAAAAGCAACAGGTTAAATTTGATGAATATGATTTTTTTTATGAATTGCATTAAAAATCTTATATGAAATATGGTACTGAAAGATTAAGGTCAGGAACCAAGATTTACTATCATTATTAAATCTCTAAAATTGCTTCCCAAGTCACACAAAAACAAAGGTTAACATAGGATCAAGTTTCTGGATGAAATCAAAATGGGTAATAGGTTTGGAAAACAATTCAGTGCATCCTAGAACAACCAAAAACAACTTTCTTAATCACTGGAAACACTATAAGATGAGAACATAAAATGTGACCACTAACAAACCCCATGAACATACAATGCCCTGTTAGAAAGTGAGCTCCCACTTTGTGGAGATTATCACTCTGTATTCATATCCCCAGCACAGTGCCTGGCACATAGTAGGTATTTAATATGCTGATTGATTAATTGACACAAAAACTTCTACATTCAAAGGAATTCTGACCCTTACAAAGCAGTCACCTGAGGGAGAAAAGAAAAACTTTTTTTCTTTTCTTTTCTTTTTTTTTAATGTTGCCACTGCTAAAAATTTTTTCGAAACTTGTTCAGTTATGTCTGACTCTTTGCAATCCCATTTGGGGTTTTCTTGGCAAAGGTACTAGAATGGTTTGCCATTTCCTTCTCCAGCTCATTTTACAGATGAGGAACCTGAGGCAAATAGGGTTAAGTGACTTGCCCAGGGTCACACAGCTAGTAAATGTCTGAAGCTGGATTTGAACTCAGATCTTCTTGACTCCAGGTATGGCTCTCTATCTACTACACCACCTAGCTGCCTTACAATCTTTGGAACTACTCTTCAGCAATGATTGAGAGCCAATTGTAGTTTCTTGTGTATGTTCCCATTGTTCTTTGGGATTTTAGTTTTTTGAAAATGACTTCCCACCACCCCCCAAAAAAACTATAAGCCAGGTCTAGTGAATACAGCTAGTGATCATTCTGGGTAATAAGTTTTTGGGTTTTCCTTTAATAAGACTGATTTTCTTACCTGACTCATACAGTGAATGTGAAGGTAATTCTGAAGGAGATTCAAAAGTATTTTGAGCCCTGGCAGTCTCCTTGGAATATATGATTATTCTGAAGAGCAAAATTCATCCAATATATATTTTGCAAATATACAGTACAGTGTAGTAAAGAAATGGTCTCAAAGTCTAGAAGACCTGAGTTCAGATTCCATCTCTTATTCGTAGTAAGTAGTTGTATGACTCTAGACAACTCACTTAACCTCTCACTGCCCTGTTGCAATTCATTACAGAAGGTGCTCTTCTGCATAGGCAGAGGGTGTTTCTTCACCCAGACTTTCCTTTACCACTGAAATCACAAGTTCAATCCTTATCTCAATCCTTAAATTGTATTTTTTAAAAAATCACTTATTTTATGGTATCACATCTTGCGTGTCCTCAAGATAAAAAAAGTCTCAAAACTAACCAGTAAAGGTTTCCAAAGTGTCATTTATTTAAAACAAACATGATTTATAATATAGACAATGATCATTTCAGAACAAAAATAGAAGAAAAATAGAGCTAAATTCAAGTTCAAGTTGCTACTTCCTGCTCTGGCAAAAATGAGTCTTTAGTTAGGGGGATGCAGGGGAGAGAAGGGAAGGAAGTAGGGGGAGGGGTATACACATAGGCAAAAAAAAGTAAGCTAATCAGTCAGTCAGTTAACCAAAGAGCATTTATTGAATGCTTGCCAGGCACTGTGCTGAGTTCTGGAGTTACACAGAATGGCAAAACCCAGACACTGCTCTCAAAGAGCTCATAGTCTAATATATTTAATAAAGAAAGCACTTGTTAATTATTCTTTGTCTCCACTGCTTTTTAACATCCTTTTTCACCTCTTTAATATGTGTTCCCAGGGTTCTCTCCTTGGTCCTGTTTAGTTTTCTATCTACACCCTGTCAATCAATCAACAAGAATTCATCAAGCATCTATCATGGCCTGGGCACTGTGGGTATGAAGACAAAATTGAAAGTCCTTGGATTCAAAGAAGCTTTCATTCCAAAGAGAGGGAGACAAATATTATACATATAGAGAGCACATACAAAATGAATGTAAGGTAGGGTTTGGGGTTTCTTTTGTTTTTTGGTGGGGGGATGGGGGGAAACCCTGGCAGTTGACAAAATTAGGAGGGGCCTCGTGAAGAAGAGAAGGTGGCACTTCAGTTGAGCTTAGAAGGAAAACAGATTCCAAGAGGCAGAGGGGAAGAGGTGGAGTATTTTAGGCATGGGGACAGCCATTACAAAGGATGGAGAAGAAAGATGGAGCTTTGTAAGTGAGCAGCAGCTAAAAGACAAGTCTGTCTGGATAGTATAATGGAATTCCAAGAAAGATCATCTCTTAATTAGTGCCTACTTCAGAGAATGTTCAAGATCATGGAGAGTATGAGGGAAAGAAGAGCAAAGATAAAAATGCCAAAACATATAAAAAGCAATATAATCTCAGGCTGCTTCCTTCCAAAGATTTTTCCTGATCCCTTTTCTAGTCCTTAGTGTGATCCTATCCTAATTTTTGTTTATTTATTTTGAATTTATCCTGTATTTACTTATCTATGAACATATTTTATCCCCTTCAGTAGGATGTAAATTCATCAAGGGCAGGGACTATCTGATTTTGCATTTGTATCTCTATGGCCTAGTACATTGTAGGTGCTAAATTAATGATTAACATATTTTTAGGAGTATATTTATTGTGGGGGAAGGAAAAGGGGGAAAATATAGTGTGGCGGGTAAAAGATGAAATGACTGAGCAAACAAAGGTTTGAGCTTTTGAGCATATTGATTTAGTAAGCAATGCATGCCCACTGCATAACAAAAAGGTTCCTGGCCCCTCAGCTTTGGCAGTGGACCCTGAATACAGGGATAGACAGATGTTTATGTACTAAAAACTATTAGTCAAATAAGACCAATTAATTAAAAGTAAACCATTAACCAGGACATAAATTAGGCAATCTGATTTCTAATTAGAGGAAAGATTTGGAGTTTTCCAAGTTGGGAGGAGAGCTAACAGGTGTAATTCCCTGAAATCAGAAAAAGAGATGTCCCATTCCCTCAATGTGTCTGTATTCAATCAAAGGAACACAGAAATAATAAGTGATTGACCCACATGGGGACAGTTTTCAGATAAGACATATAGGTTGTTTGAGAAAACTGCTTACATCACTCTTTGGATGTGACTGGGTTTCTAGTCAGCATAACCTAGGTCTTTAGTTAAGGGTCTCTAAGGTGCCAGTATAAGTGTTCCAGCTTCCTAATCATGCGGGGGTGGATTTAAACAATTCAATAAAGTTTTCTCACAATTCCCACAATTTAGTAAAGTTTTCTTTATTCTTTAAGACAGAAATTGGAGCAGACCCATAATTGAATAAAAAGGGAACTGAGGTAGCTCCAGAATTGAGTCACAAGATGGAATCTGTGTGGTTCACCCAATTCCCATCATCACTTACTATTCTAATTCCCTCAATAGTCGGACCATATTAGACAAGACCAAACTACATTTTTCAAGAAAATATTTAAGAGGGATGTTGACAAATTTAAATTTTTCAACAGAAAAGTCAGATTGGTGAGGCAATTAAAAACCACAATATGTGAGGACTAATTGAAGGAATTAGGAAGCTTTGGCCTGGAGAAGACAAAGCATAGGCTTACAGGCCCTAGAGCTGGAAGATCTTAGTGATTGTCTAATCTTCTCATTTTACAAAATGAAGATATTAAAGTATTGGGAAGTTCAATGACTTGCTCAATGTTACACGGAGCATGATTCAAACCTTTGTTCTCTGGCTCCAAACTCAAAGGCCTTCAACTATTTGAAGGGTTATCATGTGGGAAATGAATTAGGAGTCAGTTCAAGTCCTGGTGAGCATTTGCCTGGATCCATTCTCTGCCATGCTGCTCATTCCGCTGTTGGTACATTCTCCAGGCTATTCTAACTCCACACTCTGCTCCTCTCTGCTATTCTCTACTGTTTCTATCATGTATTCCATCACATTCATTTGTCATTTTCCCCCATTAGAATGTAAGCTCCTTGAGAGTAAGGGCTATTTTGTTTTCTCGTTTTTGTGTCCACAGTGCCAGACACATAATAAACACTTAATAAATGGCTCCTTTAATTTAATCTAATTTCTGCTTGGCCATAGGGCAGAGCTGTGGTATTTGTTCTTTGTTCTCTGTAAGAGAACCAGGACATCTGGGAGATGATGACAAGACTGAATTAAGTGAGGCAGGGATGTGCCAAGTCACCAGCCTCAAAAAATGATAAAGGTTGGAGAAGATGTGGGAAAATTGGAACACTAATGCATTGTTGGTAGAGTTGTGAAATGATCCAACCATTTTGGAGAGCAATTTGGAACTGTGCCCAAAGGGCTATCAAAATGTGCACACCCTTTGACCCAGCAATAGCACTTCTAGGCTGTATTCCAAAGAGATCATACAAGTGGGAAAAGGACCCACATGTAGAAAAATATTTAAATCAGCTCTTTTTGTGGTGTCAAAGAAGTGGAAATTGAGAGGATGCCCATCAATTGGGGAATGGCTAAACAAGTTGTGGTATATGAATGTGATGGAATGCTATTGTGCTATAAGAAATGATGAACAGGCTGACTTCAGAAAAACTGGAAAGACTTGTATAGTCTGATGCTGAGTGAAATGAGCAGAACCAAGAGAACATTGTACACAATAACAGCCATGTTGTACAATGACTAATATTGATAAGCTTCCAAGGATCTAAGACATCTCCAAAGACCTCGTGATGGAATATGCTATCCACATCCAAAGAAAGCACTATGGAGTTTGAATACAGATCGAAGCATACTATTTGGTATTTTTTTGTCTTCTGTTGAGTTTTGTTTCCTCTTTCTGGTGATTCCTCCTATTGGTTCTAATTCTTACTTACAACATCACTAATATGAAAATATGTTTAATAGGAATATACATGAATAGTTTATATCAGATTGTGTGCTGTCTTGAGGAGGGTGGTGGGGAGGAAGGGGGAGAAAAATTTTAAATTCAAAAGCATATGGAAGTGATTGTTGATAAATCAAAATAAATTAATTAAAAAAAAATTTAAAAAAAGTTATCAGCCTCACTTTCTCCTCCAGAGCCGTCTGGGTCCACTGGCCAGATAAGAATCAGGACTATTGGAGGTGACCCAGGATGCAGTGGGAGACCTTGGCCTTTTTAAGCTAAGGTCTTTTCAAGTTCTCACTTTGAGTGAGGGAATGCCCATTCAGTGAATAGGCCTCTTTAAGAAGTGAGTCAAGGTTTGTCCCCTTTAATTAAAAAAAAAAAAAAATCAAACTGGGAGGGGAAGACACTCAGGGTTGCTGGCCAAAAGAGTAACAGTTACTATTTACACTCACTCTGAGGCAGGAGGGCCAAAAAAAATAACCATGAAGTGGTGCTTGGGCAGAGACCTATTGCTGTCCAGCTCCAGAGTGAATTGGGTTTAATTAAGGCTTGGTCTTTGAGAAGGAAATCTGCCAGTAAACCCCAAGGTAACCAGTTAAGTTCAAAATTTACCTTCCTTTGTGCAGAACACCCTCAAGTAAGGGCATGATACCCCAGGAGATGGCAGAACTAGGACCAGGTGGAAGCCAATTGATAGGAAGATTTTTGTATGGCTTGAAAGAAGTGTTAAATAATTTAAAGAAGTCTAAAAATGGAATAAACTGCTATATGAGACAGTGACTTCCCTATCACTGGGTATATTTAAGAACAGGCCTGTCAGCTAGTAGGTAACGGAAGGAATTCCTTCATTGGATACGAGGTTATTAGTCTGAGATTATTTCTAAGTCTTCTTTCAATTCTAGAGCTCTCTACGGTTCAAAGTTAGCTCAGTGGCCCAATTGTGACTTCACTGGTACCATTGTGGAATCCCTTCCAGATGCCTAGGTTTTCTCAGAAAATAGAATGCTTCTTTGTCCCTAACTTAAAACAACCTGCCTAAAAGCCCTTTGGGTTTCTTATTTAAAATTGTAGCTATTTCAGACTTCATAGTTTATGCTGATAACTTAATGAATAGAAACCTATTTATAGGTAAGCATGCTTTTCTGTTTAACATTTTCACTAATGACTTCTAGACACAGATGGTACATTTATCAAATTTGTATAGAACAGGAGGTTCAAGAGAAGGGTATTTTGCTAAACGAGGATACAAAAAGATCTCGATTGGCTGAAATAATGGTTCACATGAATGTACATTTTTGCCAATTAAATTTTCTTTGCTGGATCAAAGGACATGCACAGTTTTATAGCCCTTTGGGCACACGAACTAGACATTTCTAAGGTCCCTTGCAGTTCTAAATCTATGATCAAAGGAAGCGAAGTGATACAGGGTAAAGAGTGAACCTGCTTATAATCATCTGCTACCTGTGTGATATTGTACAGCTCATTTAACTTCTCTGGGTCTCAGTTTTCTCATCTGTAAAATGAGGGAACTAGAATAAGACCTCAGCACTAAATTTACTATTCTATGACCTTTACCAAGTTCTGCCTCCTCCATGGGCTATTTCTCAATTACTTCAAGTCTGCTTAATCTCTTTATCAGAACATCTATTACACTGGTAATCAGGCTCAAGGTTTACTTAATCATCTTGTAATCATTCCACATAAATTAGTTTGTCTTCCCAAGTAAAGTCAACAAACAACTATTAGAAGCTTAATATGTACTAGGCTTCACTCAAAGTGTTGGGAATACAAAGAAAGGCAAAAAAAAGTCCTGTATTCAGGGAATTCACAATCTAATGGGGGAGACCACATGAAATAACAATACACAAACAAGATGTGTACAGGTTAAATTAAAGATAATTTCAGAGGGAAGGCCCTAACAATTAATCAATTAATATTTATTACACCTATTATGTTGCCAGGATTCTCTATAGCATGGTCCATAAAATGAGAGACCTGAAAGGTTATTTTGTTCAGCCCATAACACATCATGAATAACACATAATTATCTAATCTCTGCTTTAAACCCCACTCAAAGACAGAGATCCCCATGAAGGGATCACATTCCATTTTTACATAGCTCTGTTAGAAAGTCTGATGTTATATTTTTTGGGGGACAGGCAATTGAGGTTAAGTTATTTGCCCAGGGTCACATAGCTAGTAAATGTCTGAAGCCAAATTTGAACTCAGGGCCTCCTGACTCCAGTGCTGGTGTGTCTTGATGTCATATTGAGGCAAAATCTACCTTCTTATAACTTCCACCTTAGTTCTTTCCTCTTGGGTCTAAAAGAACAATTCTAATTCTTCTTACACATGCCAACTTTTCAAATATGTGATCACAGCTATTAGGTCCCTATCTTTTTTCTAGGCCAAAAAAATCCCAGTTTCTTTACTTGATCTTCATATGGTCTCCAGTCTTGTTAACATTCTGGTCATTCTGGTCATGCTTGCTCTGTGTGTGTTATAACTTGTTAATGGTCCTCCTAAAAGGTTTTAACTAGAACTTGATATAAAACTCCAGATATATTCTGAGAAGGGTAGAAGATATAGGGAACATCACTTTCTTCACTCTTGAAAACATGTACCTATTAATTCAGTAAACATTTATTAAATGCCTACTATATACAAGGCACTGTGCTCATACAGCCTAAAATCAAAATTAGCTTTTTTTGGCCGTCATATTACACTGCTAAATCATAATGAGCTTGTAGTCCACTAGAAACCTCTGGCCTTTTTTACATGAATTCATTTCTAGTCACAACTCCCCCCAGCCCCCTTTTTTTTACTTGGGAAGCCATTTTTTTAAAACCCAAGTATTGAACTTTGTTATCCCAATTACATTTCAAGTTAATTTCAGCCTTTTGAAATCTTTTTGGATCTATTCTTTATCACCTGCTATATTAGCTATCCCTCCCAGTTTCCTTTGACCCACAAATTTGATAAATATGTCTTCTATACTCCATGCAAACAATGGATAAAAATGTTGAACACAACAGGGTTAAGGACAGAAGAAATGTGGAAAACTATTAAAGGCATCCCTTCAAATTGAGAACAATCCACTAATGAATTTTTTTGTCTAACTTTTCAATCAATTCCAAATCCACCTAACTATACTATCATCTAGTACACAGTTCTTTGTCTTGTCCATGAGGGGACTTGCTAAAGGTTTATTCAAAAATATGTATCATGACAAAGGAGGTTTTTAAAGAAGTTTAATCTGGTGGAAGTGAACAGAATGAACTTGGGGAACAGAAAGACTACTTAGAAGCATTAGAATAGTCTAGTTAATGAGGTCTTAGATCAAGGTTTTGGCATCAAAACATACAAAAGAAGCGATGGATCCAAAAGGAGATTAAAAAAATAAAAAACACCATAGGACTTTGTGATTGACTTGCTGTGAGGATCAAATTAAGGAGATGGAAGAATCAACATGGATTCCAACCTTATGAGAGGAAAAAAATGTTAGTACTGTTGACCAGAATAGGGAAATTGATTTGGAAGGGAATATAATTAATGTTAGAATATTGTTAGAGAAAAAATGTGTTCTTTCAGTTTCTCTGATTTTCTCTGGTTTTGTGATATATGGGTATTCGTTCCATTGACTCAGACCAAAATCCCTCTGTGACTTAATAAATTTGTTATGATCAATGTTCATTTCTTAAAACTACTCTACTAATAACTAGCATTCATTTAGTGATTTAAGGTTTGAGATATTTGCTATCTCACTTAACCCCTAGGACCCTGTAAGATAGATACTATGGTTATTCCTATTTTATAGATAAAGAAACTGAGATGAAAAAGGTTAAGTGACTTGCCTAACATTGACCAGCTGGTAAGTAGCTGAGGAAGAGTTTGAATTCCTCTGTACTTAGGTTGTTTTCCTGACTCCAGGTCCAGTGTTCTATCCACGAAACTAAACCACTTAATGTCTTGAAATATTAACACTTTATCTCTTCAGTACTTATTCACACAAATATACATACACATTCATGCTTTTCAACACATTCAGTTACTCACTTTCTCCATAAAGCCAGGGGCTTTTCAAGTTCTTTCTCAGCAGATCCCAGTGAAGCAACAAATGCAAATGGCCAAGCCAATAACATCATAAATGCAGCAAACAAAAGTCGGATTGGAAACAGGGTCAAAGTCATGAAGGCAATCTGGAAAGACAAAAAAAACCCCATGTAATTAATATCATAATGTCTTAATTAGTATTTCCATTTATAACAATTTATTTATATAAACAAAACAGAGGTAGAAGAAATTTGCTGTATGAGATAACATTCTTTCTAGCTCAAGAATGTCACTTTTCAACAGTCTAAGGAAGATGTGAAATACTGCATAAATCTCAATTAAGAAGCATGTTCATTTGAAACATGTCTTCTGAACATTAATCTTTTTACTTCTAAACTCCTACCCCCTTGACTTCTAACTAAAATATCTTTGACATACATAATTTTAGAAACAAGATATTGGTGTTTTTCTCCCACTAATTTAATTTATACTCTTTGCCCTGAACGCTGACTCACAATAAATAGCACTATAACTGGTAGACTTGACACAAAAGCTGCTTTCACATGATCTGATCTAGCAAGGTAGTTTTACACATCAAAGCTGCTGCACTGTCTCAGAAAATTAGCCCTCTTCTCCCTTAACTTTTCCCAAAAAGTCATTTATATGGGTTCAGAATCAGCTAGACTGTTGCCAATGGAGAAAGAAGACATTTATAGGGAATAAGTGAAAAAAGACCATAATAAGTAGTTACTTGAGAAATCATTAAAAATAATTATGCTGTGGAAGTTTGAAGGTTTTAAAAGCCAGAACAGAAAACTGGGAGACTCTTTCCTCTTATAGTTACTTACAGTGTAATTCATTTTGCCATAATGCCATGAGTAGAAACAGGTTGAGAAATAACGTAAAGAGCTCTGGAAAAATCAGAGAGTAGAACTGGTAGGAAAAGTCTTGTTAGAAACACAGATAACTCTTTATGAAAAATAAAGGCACATGAAAAATTAAAAATCAAAGCTTAGCCTTCAGCTCTAAATAGATAGAGGAAGCTAAGGGTCAGCTGAACGTGACTAGAAGGAGGAACCACACAGGGTGAAAAGGGAAATTCCATCAAAACAAGGATATGGAAAGACGGAAGCTAAATCCAGGGCAGAGACAGGATGGGATTAAGGAACTCAGGCATTTTAGCATAAGGAAAGCAAAAAGAAGACAACCCAGAGCATAGTTTTTGAATGATTATAGTTTCCTAAAAACAGAAAGTTATTGTATCCCTTATATTTAAAAAATATGTATTACCAAAGTTTACAGGGAGAGGCAGGGTTACAGTAACATTGGACTGAGCCTCTGCTCACAGTTATTGAAAAAAAAAGATAATATAAAGATCTCTGCAATCTTTTAAGTGTCATATAAACTTAAAATTCTGAAGAAATCATCTAAAAGCAGTACTTACAGAAGTTATTAAAATATCTTTTAAAATTTGACAATGCAATATTTATCTGTAATTTTAGATATGTAAAGAGAAGAATTGAGTGTTACTGCCAAGTTCTTCCTAATCTCTCAATTGACTTAAAATTGAGTAAATCAAACCGGATACCTGCGGAGATGAAAAATGAGGTGCTACAGTGGAAAAAGCCTACTCCTAAAACCTAGGTTCAAACTTTTCTAACATTTGTGAACTTTATGACATTGGGCAAGTCACAAACATTCTGGGTCTAAACTGTAGGAAGTTACTGGTGTATATTTCTGGAATGAGAAAGAAAACGTCTTTCATAGATATTCTGAAGATAAAGTAGCATGGGCTACATACAAAGGAAATGGAAACTACGAATGAAAACAAATGAATCTGAAAACTATAATTAGCTAAAACAGTGTCAGCAGAAATTGTTGTATTTGAAAGTTATTCTTGGGATATCTAGACAGTGTTAAATAAAAAAATTCCACAATTTATTTGGCTGACCCAAATGAAAAGCTCAAATAGAGATCCATAGAGATTTCATGTTCCTTTCCCCCTCTGTCCTCCATTCTCTCTAGAGTTATTGTTGTTTGTCCCTCATTCTCAAAGAAGACCATGACACCAGGAAGGGGATGTCATGACTTGCAAGTGACTTGGATTTAAGTGAGGCAGGGCTGTGCAAAGTCACCAGCCTCAATCTGTCATCTTGAGCCATCTGGGTCTAGTGGCAAGATATAGGTCAGGAAGAGTGGGAATGGAACTGGGTACAGTGGGAGATCTTTTTAAGCCAAGGTCTTTCCCAGGTCTTAGCTTGACTGAGGCAATGTCCATTCAGTGATTAAGGCTAGGTGAGAAATGAGGCAAAGAATGACCTCTTTTGCCTAGTCAAAAAAAAACATCAATCTGGGAGGGTTTCTGGCTAAAACAGAAACAATTGCTATTTAGAACCACTCTGAACCATCAGAGCTCAAACAATGACCAAATGAGGCTTGGGCTGGGACATATGTTGGCCACTCAATGACAGCCAGTGTGTTATAGAAACTATCCAGGAGTGGGGAACCTGTGGCCACAAGGCCACATATGGCCCCTCTAGGTCCTCAAGTGCAGCCCTTAGACTGAATCCAAACTTCAAAGAACAAAGCCCCTTAATAAAAGGATTTCAAAAGGCCACACCCAAGGGCCTCAAGGCCACAGGTTCTCCCCCTCCCCCCACCCTCTTATAGACATTTAGGGTTATAGACACTATAGACATCTGGTAAAGGAAAATTTCTGCTTTTTCCCACTTGGTCCTATAAAGAGCCTCTCCTGGCTAAATTTGTCTTCCTTCCCCTTTGGCAGCAGCCTAGCTGATTCTGAACCCTGGGTAAAACAACAGTCAACTTATCTGTATGTTATACATGATTAAGATAAGGGTTCTACAGTCAGTCTAATCAATCAGCAAACATTTATTAAGAGTTTACTGGAGGGGATGGAGCCAAGATGGCAGAGTGAAGGCAGTAACTTCCTTGAGCTCTCCCCCAAATCCCTCCAAATAAAAAATGGCTCCAAACAAATTCTAAAGCAGCAGAACCCACAAAAAGACAGAGTGAAACACATTTCCAGCCGAAGACAACCTGGATGGTTGATTGGAAAGGTCTATTGTGTGGGCTGGGAGAGAAGCGCAGTTCAGCGTGGGCGTCCAGGCAAAGACCAGGCCTCAGCAAACCTAGAGCAAGCCTCAGGGGACTGAATCACGGGCAGCTGTGGTGGTTTCCAGACTTCTCATCCCACAAATGCCAAAGACAACTTAGAAAGTCAGTAGGAAAAGTCTGTGACTATGGTGAGAGAGAAGCTTGGTCCCAGTCCCAATCCCAGTCCCAGTGCAGCAACAGGACAGCAGCTACTTCCTGAGCTCTTGGCCCGCAGACAGAGGGGGAATTGAGTGGCTGATCAGAGAGGGATTGCAGGGATGTCTTTGCTGTTGCTGAGGCAGGATTCTCTTGCTTTGCCCATGCTTGGATCTGGGTCGCAGTTCTGGGTGGTGGTCCTGGGGTGAGGAGGAGCACTGGCATGGTGGAGCTTGTAGTGGTGATGGAGAGGGAATCCTCCTCACAGTTCCAAGGCAGAAGACAGTGCTTGTGGTCACTCATAGACCAGAGCCCAGGCCAGGAAAGGAGTAAAGCATCTCGCCCTTGATCATAGCATCTTGGAAGAACTGAAATTTTATAGATCCCTAGAAGTATCTCTGACAACAGCTGCACAAAACCCCTGAAGCTTGGGACAGTACATTCTCCACACTGGAAGCAGACACCTACCTTAACAAAGAGTTTAAAACTCAAGCAATTGGCTGGGATCATGAGCAAACAGTGCAAAAAAAGTCAGACCATAGAATCTTTCTTTGGTGACAGAGAAGATCAAAACATACAACCAGAAGAAGACAACAAAGTCAAAGCTCCTACATCCAAAGCCTCCAAGAAAAATATGAATCAGTCCCAGACCATGGAAGAGCTCAAAAGGGATTTTGAGAAGCAAGGAAGAGAAGTAGAGGAAAAACTGGGAAGAGAAATGAGAGTGATGCAAGAAAATAATGAAAATTAAGTCAACAGCTTGCTGAAGGAAACCCAAAAATATAGCCTAATCCAAATGGCAAGAGAGGTCCAAAAAGCCAATGAGGAGAAGAATGCCTTAAAAAGCAGAATTGGCCAGATGGAAAAGGAAGTCCAAAAACTCACTGAAGAAAATACTTCCTTAAAAATTAGAATGCATGGGGCAGCTAGGTGGCACAGTGGATAGAGCACCGATCCTGAAGTCAGGAGGACCTGAGTTCAAATCCGGCCTCAGACCAAACACTTGACACTTACTAGCTGTGTGACCCTGGGCAAGTCACTTAACCCCAATTGCCTAAAAAAGAGGAAAAAAAATTAGAATGGAGCAATTAGAAGCTAGTGATTTTATAAGAAATCAAGACATTGTAAAACAAAACCAAAGAATGAAAAAATAGAAGACAATGTGAAATATCTCATTGGAAAAACAACTGACCTGGAAAAGAAAGATAATTTAAAAATTATTGGACTATCTGAAAGCCATGATCAAAAAAAGAATCTATCTTTCAAGAAATTATCAAGAAAAACTGCCCTGACATTCTAGAACCAGAGGGTAAAATAGAAATTGAAAGAATCTAACGATCACCTCCTAAAAGAGATCCCCAAAGGAAAACTCCTAGGACTATTGTAACAAAATTCCAGAGTTCCTAGGTCAAGGAGAAAATATTACAAGCAGCCAGAAAGAAACAATTCAAGTATTGTGGAAACACAATCAGGATAACACAAGAGTTAGCAGCTTCTACATTAAGGCACCAGAGGACTTGGAATATAATATTCGGGAGGACAAAGGAGATAGGATTACTCCAAGAATCACCTACCCAGCAAAACTGAGTATAATCCTTTAGGGGAAAAAATGGACATTCAGTGAAATAGAGGACTTTCAAGCATTCTTGATGAAAAGACCAGAACTAAATAGAAAATTTGACTTTCAAATACAGGACTCAAGAGAAGCAAGAAGAGATAAACAGGAAAGAGACATCATAAGGGACTTATTAGGGTTGGTCTGTTTACATTCTTGCATGGAAAGATATTTGTAACTCATGAGACCTTTGTCAGTATTAGGGTAGTTGGAGGGGAAAAAATTATATGTATAGATAGATGGCACAGGGTGAGTTGA